TAATAACAAACTTTTCTTTGTCTATTCTTTACAACGCAAATATTCCTGATTTCACAATTTCTAAACTCATCTGGTATTTGGTAGCAATTTAATTCGGCATGCAAATCCTGAAGAATTTTTACAATGTCTTAATTTCGGGTGATTTACAGTGAGTGGACCATTTTTACCCGCCGGCGGCTGTCATGTTTAATTAAATACAGAAACGAGCGAGATCCGGCGGCTAACAAAAGATGGGAATACGGTTAAAATTAAAACTGAACGATATACATTGGATGCGGCATATCGATGTGTTGGCTATGGGCTGGGTACACACCGTAGACTGTCCATGGTATTTCCTGTTATACATTGCGTGGTAGCGATTGTTACTTTGTTTTTAACCGACTTCAAAAAAGGTGTATTTTTTGTTGGAAAGGGGTACCTCGATAGTGGTCCCTTTCAAATTTGAAGAAAATATTCGACCTCTTAGTAAGGCAAATTATGCAATGAGTCCGGCTTATTGAATTTCATCCACTTTCCGTTACTACTTACTTCGGTGGCGCAGTGACCCAAAGTGGGTCTTGGCCTCCGACACCTGCCTGCTCCCTCCAGCCACTAGCACCGAGGTAGTTGAGATCTTTCTGGACTTCATCGCTCCAGCGGTACCTGAGACGTCTGACCGGTCGGCGGTCCTTTCGATTGTCCCACGTGTCCTAGCCAGCGAAATCTCGCAGCTTTAGTTTCTCCCACCATATTGGCTACCGGCTAAGTCCGAAGGACTCGCTAACCAAAGTAGGATGTGGTCCTCCATCATTTCGGGTGTTATGCGAGTTAACACCTCATCCATGTAGAAGTCTATTGTTACGATAATTTCAATAGAAATAATTTCATTAGTTCATCGTTTATAATACACAATTCACAATTTTTAATTTTATTATACAGACATTTATTGACTATCACGATGTTATACTATCGTGATATTCAATTATTCTTTGTAAAATTACTCCACTGGTTTAATATAATTATTAATACAAAGATCGAACACATAAAAAACTATTTTTTTCTAAGTATTCGATGTTTGGAATTTAGCAATAGTATAAATGTGTTCATGGATTACAAACTTAAAACCATTGCATTGAGGAACTTGTTTTCATATTTATTGCATAATTATTTATTTAAGATACTTGTTCAAAATTTGCCATTTACGAGGTTTAAAAATTATATAGTGAAACAAAAACTTCATTGTAAATGTTTCTGTGGATTACAAAAATTCGTGATAATTAATTGTTTAGCTCTTGCATGTAGTAATCTAGATCCAAGATATTTGAAATAAATATTGTAAATGGTAAATACGTAATCAATTGCATATTTACAAAGAACAAACCCTAGAGCTTCTAGATCATTCTTTTCGGTGAAATCTGCCTTACGAATGAACTTCAAGTACCTACAATTTGCTTACGTACCGATGAAATAAAAATTATTTCATTTTCAGTTATTGGTATGAAATTAAGTAAACTCATGTGTTTTGCTTCTTATCTCCGTTTTGTCGGCAAGGCTGGACAGTATTTCAATAACTTGTTTGTGTTTTCTAAAAAGGCCGGAAAAATGAAAACGCGTGCGAAAAGAATGAATGAGATGAATTGTAAGTGAAGCAAGAGAGTTTTGTCAGGATCGGGCAAAGTGACTACCTAAATCTAATAGCTGTTCTGTTTTTTATTTGTTTTGTTTTTTTTTAATTCTTTTATTTCGAATTTTGTTTCTTTATTTTTGTCACAAAATTCGCGAAGCGGGGACAGAGATAATATTATATTAGTAAATAAATATGGCAATATACAAAAATAACAGAAAAAAAAACAAAAAATAATGATGAAATTATGAGGAATCCACTCCGTGGTCGTTTCATTTTCATAACATGATTTTTATTTTGTTTCAGGTCGCTTCTTAGGTGCTGAACATGAACAAGAAATCTCATAAGAAAAAGGTTAGTAATTTCTTGCTTGGATTTGTTAGTTTGAAGCCAGACTTATCAACTATTATCATTCATACTACTATCCACAGAACAAAAAAAAAATCAAATGGAAGTGCCATAATATCCGATTACTATCAGAACCTCTGTTGCCAAAACACATATTCTAATTTGAAACACTATGAAATCTTGATAATGGATAACTGGACTGTTAATATGATTTAAACTTGACCCTGTTGGCATATCGTTGAAAGTCCAATACCATTAATACCTATTATTCCAAGTTATGACGTTTTGATTATATATTGAAACAATCTGCTGTCATCTAGCGGTTAATAGCTGAACGACGACGAATTCGAGATATTTACTAGGGCATGCACACCGGTTAATCGGCTAACCGAAAAATCGTCCATTCTGGAACCCGGTTTTCAGGTAAGGAAAAGTGGAAACTCAGTAGGAAATCATTGCTTTTCAATTGAGATGTCGGCTGTTCGAAGTCCGGGTGGCGGCAGGTACCTGCTTTAATTTCTAAATTGCGGACGTTTGTAGAGGTTTAGTAGCAATACTAACGATTTAGAAAAACATCGTGATGAAACCTTGCATGACTTCGGTTTATAAGCCTGTGGCCTGCAGCTAATGTATAATGAGTTGAAAACGATTGTCGAGAATTGTTTAAAAAAAACAAACAAAAGTCACGTCTACGCTCTGTGCTCTAAGTACTGTAGGGGTCTTCGTTTAGAAATATCTTCGTGAATAATAAAATAAAATTGGTAGCTAAAAGCGAGTTAGAAAAAAACGAGATTTAAAATTATTGGACAATTTTTTTTTATTAACTTCACTTTTGATAGGAGTCAACGTAAAATGTGGAAAAATATCCGAAAAAAATATTTTTTTGTGAAAAATATGATTTTTTCAAAATGGAAATTTTAACACACAAGCTTCAAGCGAGAATTAAGGCATAATTAAATTCAGATTCATCATTCAGACAATTCTTCCACTAGTAAAGGCACTTACGCAAACAGTTGTAAAATGCCGTGATAGCCTAATGGTTTGACCTACTGCCTCTCAAGCAAAGGGTCGTGGGCTCGAATTCGGGCTCGCATCTCTGAAACCTCTCTCACCTGTTTAGAGACCCGTGCCCAACAGTGAGACGAGTAAATGGGTGGATGATGTATGTAAAAAGAACAACTTTCATTCAAATGAGCTAGACAATTTGCCTTGTGACGCGCCGCTCGTGCCACTCGCGCCAGCCGTTCCTGGCATTTGGCTGACGGCAGCGCCACGTTGGCAGCTTACGACCGCATTGATCGATTTTTCACTTGTGATAGAGTGTGACATCAAACTACGATTTATGAGGCCGATCACTTGTTAAGGCCCATCGAACACTACAGACTATATGTCCGATGCTTCATCTACGACAGAGCGGTGGTAACCAGTGGGAGAAAGGTAGTTTCTCAACTGAAAAGTCGAGATTTCCCTGTGGCAGCAAATCGCTATGACTTTAATGTCTGTTTAGTAGCATTAACCTTCGCTAATGGTGAAGAAAAACGTGGTAGAAACGACAGCTGTATTCAGACGTAGCTGTCGTCTAATATGTATATAGCTGTCGTCTAATATATTTCTTTAGTACCTAGGTGTCAGCACCTACTAAAGAAATATATTAGACGAGAGTATTTTCAATACGGATGTAGTTTTTACCAGTTTAGTTTTAGATTTTTTTTAAGAAGCCTATTATTGTGTTCCAATGCTGGGCTCATTTTGACTTCCACAGCTCCTGGTTTAGACAATGTCAAGCCAGTTCCTTTTATATTCGATGGGCCCTGTATACTTTTTTGTGGGAAAGGCTTTATTTCATTATAAAATGAAGCATTTCCCACAAAAAAGTGAAAATGATCAAGTTGTTACTTTGGCCCTTACTACTTACTACCCATCTATACGTGTCCAAGACATACCGATATGTCTTTCTTGGTCTGCTTCATCGCCGTTGGCTGTTCTCCGGCTATATCCTGTGTTAGCCCATCTCTGTGGGTGCATGCGACAGACGTGTCCAGCCAAGTCCCACGTACTTGTTTTTGGCGCGTTTTCCTTGATTTGTCATGTTTGGTTAGTTTTTGGCGCTCGTGCACATCTCATATCGTGTTTCTGTTTTTAAATAAACTGTAATGTAAGTAGATTTTCTTTAATCTTACTTATACTCCTTGAATCCCATTTTTACAAAGCGCTACAACAGGATTAAAAAAGTGAGTGAGTTTTTTGAATAAACTAATATATTAAAAAAAGTTAAATAAACTATTGAGATTAATTCCATGGTGACGTATTTGTCATGCTCTCCTATTCCGATGTAAAAATATAACATAAACATTGAGTCACATCCGTTTTATGATGAAAACCGCCTTGTTTAGATACAAGACAGCCCCGCATATAAAATAGGCCGTTCTTTAAATTGGTCCTAAAGGAGTAAAGTTTTTTGTACGTAGCGGCAGTGCTACTAAGCTTTGTGAAATCGCCATTGTGTACTGTGATCTTTTAGGTACAAGGCCTAACAGATTCATTCCCTTCATGTACCTACATGTGCTTGTAGGAGGTCAGCACACTTATTTATGGACGGAGAATCGGCTTAAGCCGAACAGAAATTTTTTTATGTTCATGCAATAAGAGTTTGCACCACGTCGCGTTGTTAGACGTCGACTTTTTCGCTGTTGTTGCTTGGATCTAAAGCCTTTTCTTTTTGAACTTCAGCCTATATCACACCGATAAGTGTGGTGATTCCAGTCCTATACCCATATAATCTTTTCTGTCATTTATTTATGTATTCAATAGTGCAAGTGGACTCACAGAGGTTACTCAAAACACCCACACGCTTAGATTAACATTAAATATAACAAAGATACAGCATTAAGATGAATAAAAATAAAATTAATAATAATGGTTGCCGCCGTCTAAATGGCAAATTAATACAGTTATTAATGAAAAAGATTATGGCACCAAAATTGAGAGTTATGTCCAAGCCATCGGATTCTCTGTTAAAATTCCATTTGGATTTATTGTTGCAGCTGCAAACAGAATCATATAACTTTAAATACAGTTGACGCACGCTGGGATAATTTCCTGCAGCTTTTTATTATGTATTATTCCTAAAACCCCATTCCCTTTGTGAGTGTGAAGTTTAAAGGGTGTCAGAGTGTCAAACCATATTCTTAATAGAAACTTTTATGGGGAAAGGAGTAAATTTTTGATTGTACGTGATACTACTCTGGCTGCAAACAGCTGCATCGGTGGAATAATTGTGTACATACGTTGCATCTCGAGCCAAACGAAAATAGATGAACTTGCTGTAAATTAACGCGTCGCAAGGGCCAGCTGCTAGAAATATGTGACTCGCCATATAAATTTGCTCGGCATTGTAATTAAACCTGAGTCACAGCGTTCAATGGTTGGGGTATAGCTTCGAGATTTTCCAAATTTCAACACTATCCAATAGGTACCGTTCAGACGGAAACAACCTTTGTACAGTTTAACCGGTCTGTTACAATTTCAAAGAACCCTTAAGAGTCGATGCTACTTTGGCTCAAATTCAAATGTTACCCGTACTAATACGGTTCATTTTTCTTGGGTCGAGTGGCAGGGACACTGGCTTTATTTCAGAATTTATTTATTTACAAACGAAATTATAGACATTTGCAAAATATATATCGTATAGTATACGTGTTCTTTAGAGTTCAATCAACCAATCAATCAGTTTAGTTTACAATATCCTCAATTTTACTATATATTCTTTCCAAAGGGATCGATTCAACACTTTCGCTGTTATGCAGAATCAAATAAACCATTTGAGTTCGTATAAGACAGCGTCCAAGAAAAGACAACGTCAATTACGCGTCTAGTATTTCGCTTTAACTAATCTAAAGGTGAATCTAAAGAGAGAGAGAATTGATTAGATAGTAATCTACATGCTCAAGGTAAATGCAATGTGCTTACTATGAATCGCGACATTGTTGGGAGTGATGCCAAGATCGATGAGATTGCGAGGCCGGACGTTATTCAAACGTCATAACTTTACTACATGTTTATTCTCGTGTTTATACTAATTAAAATTTTACACTGAATTCTGACCGCCGTGATCAAAGGATTTGAGCCAAAATGTTTAAGTATAATGAGGATTTAACAAGCACCAAATTTATTAAGTAGGATTTTGTATCCATTCTGCGGTAGAACAAAGAGACAAGATTTATGATCAAACGAAAAAAATGGATGGATACATCCGAGAACGATCACCAATTGCGTAAACAGAAAGGAACACCCAAGAAGAAAAAGAAAGATAGACAGCGAAAACAATTAGCAATTTGAAACTGAATAGAGGTAGTGTAAATAAATCTCTATTTAGTTGGTTAACTGCGACACAGCTGCTGAACTGTGTCGTGGGCGTGACCCGACGTCCGTCAACGCGCGCCGCATGTGCTGACGCCTGTCACTCGGAACGTCGACTTGGAGCACGTCGATAATTAATAAATTGATTTAGCCAACGGTGCCGAGCCACTCAGTCTTGGTATTCCAGGGTAGTGGCACCGTTCCACGGCGTTCTCTAAACGTATTACTTTGAAAATACCATCGGTGTCACGGACGGTTGGGCACTTTTAGTAACAACTTTAGCTCCTTGTGAAAGAATTCGTCCAGTACAAACTTACAATTCGCTGTACATTAATGCTTTATGAAGGCCAGTGTTAATAGACTCATCTGAAGTGCAGGATCGTTATGCTGTGTTAATAAGAATCAATAGAGAGTATAGTAATGATTACTTATCTATTACTTTTTTATATATGTAGATACTAAGAATTCAAAGACACACGCTCGGCCAAAATATCACCTGATGTTGATCAATGACGTGACCCACGATGGGCCGTATCACGATGGATCGTGGGCCTATTTATTCTAGCCTTGAATAGCCCTAAAAGGTGAATTTTTCGGGAAACATAGATGTCGATATAATTCCTTTGCCATAAGCGCTAGGAAGCAGG